ACTCTCATTCCAGCACGTTTGACATATCGGACTCGATTTTTTCTATAAAGTAAACTATCATTTCCACTCTCAGTAATTGAAATAATATCTTTAGCATATCCAATCAGCTGATGAATTCGATTCTGTAGCTCAATAGTTTTAGATCTCGACATTTAACAAACTCCTGTTTCCACGACTCGGCACAAAAAAAAGGTTCCGTACGTCTTGCGGATTGCGCCCCTCGTGTCGTTTGGGCGGGAATTGAGGGTAAAAACCGTTGGGATTAATTGATTTAAAAAAAAAAAGCCTTTTATTTTCCTCCATACAAAATCGATCCAGCTTAGTATTTAATGCGTTAGTGGTAGTTGGAAAAATTTCCACTAAAAATAAATGCCTTTAGTGGTAATTGAATTTTTTTCCACTACCACTAATGAGTTTAGTGGTAATGTAAAAAATTTTCAATAATTTCAAAAGTAGTAGAATCAACAGATTTTCCACTAAACCAAATATAGTAAAGTAATTAGGCCTTTGCAAGTGATTTTTGGAAATGTATCGGCTTTTGAATATATGTGTGGTTATTTTCTAACATAAGTACATACATATCAATTTACAGTGTATTTCAATACAATTACAATATTTCTTTAAGATAAACACAAACACAAATTTCGCTTTTATGGATTTAAATATTAAAAACACGAAGTGTAGACTCACGTAAGAGGTTACTTATACACATATCGCATACGATCTTCAAAAGTGGCGCAACTCAAAATTTGTTGAAAAAACCGAAGGTAAAGTCTTCCTTGCCCATATGATTAGCATGTGCTAAGGAATAGTTTTTCGCATTTTCTGACGAATGTGTAATTTTGAGTTGTGAGATGATGAATACATAGTCAATATGCGCGTTCCTTATCTCCCAGAAATAGTCAGAAAAAGTCCGAAGTAGTCAGATTTAGTCCAAAAAGCGTTCCTTAACTCGGAAATGACAGCAAAAATGAGAGAGCAAAAGTCAGTGAGAGCGACTCTCATCAGTCCGAAGTAGTCAGATTTAGTCAGAAGAATTTTTTCTGGCAAAATTTTGAATAGTGTCAAAAACTCAACTGACAGCTGGCTGGAAGAAGAAATAAAAGAAATAGCGAAAAGTGAAATCATCTAAAAACTATAAAAATTTAATTAAAAATGGAAGCAGGCAGAAAAATAATTGATATGGTAAGTGTTTATTGTGCTTGTGCTTGTGTGAATGTGTTTTGTACATACAATTTTGTATATTTCCAGATTAGTGATGAAAGAATTTGTGGTGCTTCTGGTGGAGCTACAATCCATCCCTTGGGTGCAATATCGAATGGATCTGGAGAAGTAAATATGATAGCTCCTTACATTTTGTGGAATATAAGTTATAACAAATCGTTCTCAGGTTTATTTTGCAGATGTTTGTTATTCCGATGGTGCTGCGGCAAATTCGGCAGGAGATGCAGCTAACATGGCTGGACACACGGACGTGGTGAGCATAGTTTCAGCAAGGGCTAATATATAGAACAAAATGAGTTGTGATGACCCTTGTAAACGAATGTGTAGTTAGATATAAAGTGAAAATGAGTTGTTCTTAACATCGCAAACGAATGCATAGTTCAACTAAAATTTAACTTTGGTGCGGTGGTATGGTGTAGATTTTTACCCATTGATTTCGGGTCATTGTGTAAAAAATCGTGACCCGATTAAAAAAAACTTCAACATACCCGTGTAGCCGGAGTACTAAAGTTGAATTTAAAACTAAACTCTCGAATTAACGAGCACTAATTTTATGAATAAATTCGGTTTGAATTATTTACGAGTGCGGTTTAGTTATTTGTACAAAGATTTTGGGTTGCTGAGCCCAAACGCGTGACCCAAATCAAAAAATTTTACTCACACTTGTAGACAAGAGTGTAAGCTTTATTAAACAAAAAATTTACTATATCTGTGTTTATTAATAACTTCGGTTTGAAATATGATATTTTTAGGAGTTAAAAGTGGAATTTTCAATATTTTCATAAGCTCATATTTCGAACACTTGAACCGATTTTAAAAATGTGGATATGATTGGAAAGATAATTCGAAGACCATTCATATGATATAATATAAATATATTTATAGGAAAATTAAAAAATCGAAATTATGGCCATTATTTTAATAATAAGGTTTTTGATTTGTAACGCAAAGTCTTCGGTGGTTTTATACCACTGTTGGTAGTTGTACTTAAACCTAACTATATAAAATTATATACCAAATTATCTTTTAATATAGTTAATTACGTGTTTTTTTAGAAACCATTCGTTTTGTTAAAACAATGGCCATAATTTCGTTTTTTTAGTTTTACTCGTAATATGTATATAAATGTAAATATATGAAAGGTTTTTAATGACCTCAACGAGCTTTATTCTTTACGTATGCCTCATTTATAAATGAGTCTGCAGAGGTCTGTAAATTGCACCTTGGTCTTTGTAATGCTTCTGACATATTTTCTAGGTAAATGGCGCAAGTGCTTGTTCATCTGAAGATGACGGTGGAGTCTTGCGCGGTATAGTGACAGAGCTGATGGAAACATCAAGCGATTCAAGTGAGTCTGATGACGACGAGATTTACCAAATCGTTATGGATAATTCTGATAGCGACGACGAGGATTTATTAGAGGAACTATTGAGGGATAGAGAGAGAAAGAAGAGGAATAGCATTAAAAACTATTTGGAGGAAGTGGTACCTACCTATACTGAGGCAGAGTTTAAGATGCACTTCCGTATATCGAAGGAACTGTTTCTCAATTTGTCAGCTAAATTTGAGGAAAGCGATATATATAAGAGGCTTCGAGTCGATAAGCGTTTACCAGGGAAGACAAACATGGCAGTTTTCTTATGGTTTGCCGGTCATGAGGCATGCAGCTTTCGTGACTTATCCGACCGCTTTAATATATCACTGTCGACTGTTTCTCGTATGGTCAATAGAACGACAATGTTCATTAGCAGTTTGAGTCCAGAGGTTATACGATGGCCTACTGAGGAGAAGAAGCGAGATTCGGCACTTTTTTTTACCAGAAAATGCGGCTTTGCAAAAGCAATCGGTAAGTGGTAAAAACTATAATTGTGCCCTTAATTTTCAAAGTGGTCTAGGTCACTTCACATCTTATGCTTATAAATATATGCTTAAATATATAAACATATTCTAAAATATAGGATGCATTGATGGCACGCATATCGTCATTGATCCTCCAGCTGAGCGGAAAGATGACTACATTGACCGGAAAGGCAACATTACCCTTACTATGCAGGCCATTTGCGATGAAAATAAAAAGTTTATCAACATATTCGTTGGATTTCCCGGATCAAGTCACGATAGTTGGGTTTTTCAGAACTCGCCTATTTACCAAAAATTGTCATCGTATTGTGGAGGTAATAATTTTTTTAAAGTAATTTAATTTTTTAGTGGCATATACATATATAACGAAATATACCCTATTGTTTTTAATCTTACAGATTACTACTTACTAGGAGACTCTGCTTACCCGTGCACTCAGTACGTAATCACGCCATATAAGGATAATGGTCACTTGACGGCCGCGCAGAAAAACTTCAATGTGAAGCTAAGCTCCGGTCGCGTTGCAATTGAGCACACATTCGGAATCCTGAAGCAGCGATTTAGGCAGTTGTACTATTGTAAGCTAAGGGGTAGTAGGAAGTTGTGCCACTTCATAAGGGCGTGTTGTGTTTTGCACAATATTGCGAACGAGAGCGATTTAGAATTTTCGCCAGAAGTTTTAATTGAAGAAAGAGCAGAAAATGAATGTGGTGAAACAGCCAGAGGAAACTCTGTCCGGGATGCCATTTGTATGGATTTGCCACCGAGGCAACAATCAAGAAGTATTCCTTAATTTTAACATTTAGATTAAGATTAAAATAAGATTAATATTAAGATTTAGTTTAAGATTTAGTATAAGATTAAGATTAAGATTAAAATTTAGTTTAAGTTAAGATTTATTTTAAGAATTAGTATAAGACTAGGATTAAGATTAAAATTAAGTTTAAGTTAAGATTTAGTATAAGACTAAGATTAAGATTAAAATTAAGTTTAAGTTAAGATTTAGTTTAAGATTTAGTATAAGACTAAGATTAGGATTTAGCTTAAGATTAAGATTAAGTTTTATTATTAAGATTTAGTTTAATATTAGGATTAAGTATATTTAAGATTGATCATTAAAAAATGAATTTAATAAATTAATGGTCGAAATTTGTCATAAAGATACTGTTATTATTTCACACATAGGTGCACGTATGTATGTATGTATTATGGATAAGGAACTTGCAATATTTGCCAGCTTTAACTAGGTCATAGATCGCCTTTGTAGAGGATAATAATAGGTCGTAGCCAAAAGCAAATTTCCAAAATTATAACTCGCTCTTTATTCAGTCTTTTATTCAAACTTTTATTCAGTCTTTAGTTCAAAATACAGTTTAGTAAAAAGGAACCTTAATGTTAAATGAAAGAAAATAAAGTTTGCTTGTAGCAAGCTATAGTAAGAATATTATAAATACACTAAGATTACCCAAGTGCTGGAAAATTGGAAAGATTATAATGAAGTAATCTTCTCAACGCAGCTAATGGGCCAAGTTCAAGAGGCTCAGAATTCAGTGGATGCACAAGAGGTTCAAAATGCGTTGTATGAACAAGAGGCCCAAAATCCAGTAGAAGCAGTGGTAATGCAAAGCCCACAACGAAATGTGGAAACGCTTCCATCCGAAGAAAACTCAGGTTCGGCTGAGAAGCAGGCGTGGGTTGAAGCCCCAGTAAAGCTGATGCTTACGTTAATCGAGGAGCTACGGCCTAAAGTGGGGAAGAGCGCATCCGTTAAAAATAAAACTAAAATGTGGAAACTTATAACTGAGCGTATGGCAGAGCAAGGGTATATCTTCACAACAGCGCAGATTGAAAATAAATTTCGAACAATGGAGCGCAATTTTAAGAAGACGAATCTGCACAACAAACAAACAGGCAGAAATAGGTTGAGTATTAATGCTTATTTTGCTTGACGAGAGCCTCTAGCAACTCCAACTTCTTTCGTGCCATCTCTTCCTTCCTCTGTGCCATCTCCTCTTTCCGTTGTGCTCTCTCTTCTTTTCTCTCCAACAGCTCCAAAATCTTGGAATGGTACTCCTTTCTTTCCTTTGCCATTTCCTCAATTTTTTCGTACGTGCGCTCATTGGATCCTACTTTCCTTCGCTTAGGAGCACAACTTGGCACATCATCTGTAAAAAATGTAAATAATTTCGTGTTTGTAGAACTTTATAAATATTGTTGCATTACCATTCGTAGATGGATCCGCATCAGAACTGCTTTCTGCTGGTGGGCCTGCGTCTCGAGAAACCCCTTCCAGCTCTTCGTTGTCGAGCACGAAATCGGGATTTATACCTCTTTGCTCGCAATTCACTGAAAAACATTTAATTATGTACATGAAAAATAGTAAATTTACAATTGCTTACTTCTGGTATGGACACGTCAGCCTATTTCTGCCTGTTTGTTTGTTGTGCAGATTCGTCTTCTTAAAATTGCGCTCCATTGTTCGAAATTTATTTTCAATCTGCGCTGTTGTGAAGATATACCCTTGCTCTGCCATACGCTCAGTTATAAGCTTCCACATTTTCGTTTTATTTTTAACGGATGCGCTCTTCCCCACTTTAGGCCGTAGCTCCTCGATTAACGTAAGCATCAGCTTTACTGGGGCTTCAACCCACGCCTGCTTCTCAGCCGAACCTGAGTTTTCTTCGGATGGAAGCGTTTCCACATTTCGTTGTGGGCTTTGCATTACCACTGCTTCTACTGGATTTTGGGCCTCTTGTTCATACAACGCATTTTGAACCTCTTGTGCATCCACTGAATTCTGAGCCTCTTGAACTTGGCCCATTAGCTGCGTTGAGAAGATTACTTCGTTATAATCTTTCCGATTTTCCAGCACTTGGGTGGCTAACTGTTGCCGGTAAACTTCATCTGGAAAAAGTGCATGCATGTACGTAAAGCCATAATTTGTGTTACTTTCTATAAAAAAACTTACCATTTTGGATGCGCGAGAAAGTTCCTGGCGAACAAGTCACATTAAGCTGCGAATTATTCATTTTTAGTTAAAATTATACAGCTGAACAACGATCCAAACAAAATGACATTTCTATTTGACATTAGCTTTGTTGTTGCCATTCTTCGGACTAAAAATTTGGTTTTTTGCGTTCCTTTACTTTTTCCTGTTATTCTCTTTTAGTGAGCGCATTTTGCTTACGCTCTTGCATTTTGACACTTTTCAGATTTTAGTCCGAGAAGATAAGGAATGGACCTAATATATAGCACGTTTAATAATAGGTTTGTTCCACACGAGCGCGCGGGATTCCTCGGGTGCCCAAAACAGCCCAAAAAACGTTTCTCCCGCTAGAAAAATGGGTGATAGAGAGCGAATACCTTCCACTTTTGAATCTTAAAGGGCTTCTTCTTCGTGCCCGAAACAGCCCGGACTTTTTTCCGGGCAGAAATGTGCAAGAAGTCAATTTGAAATAACAGTTGTTGTTTGTTTACATCCGTGCGCAAATTTTGTAAAATACCAAAATGGAAAATAGCAGTAAAGTTTCAGAAGTGTAGGTATTTGCTAATTTTATTAGCCATATAAGATAAATACACATAAAATCATTGTTTAGAGCTGATTTGTTGATTCCGGGTATGAAATTTGGTTTTTTGCGTTCCTCACGCTCTGGGCACTTTTGGCACGTGTTGACTTATTTTTAACACTTGTGAGAGAATAAATTATTTTTACGCTCTAATTACCGAAACAGCCCGGAAAGCGTGTGGAACAAAGCTAATATAAAGGAATTTTTCAAATTTTCAAAGAATTGATAAAACTTTGATTGCAGTTGGTATACCAAAAGACAGACATATCTTCGCCATTTTTGGGAAGTCTAGTCATCTGTTAGGCTCAACATATTCTCCTCATCAAGCTTTTTAATTGTATTATGGAATCTCCAAGAACGTAAATTTTTATTTTTTTTAATATTAAACGTGATATATCAGGTTTTCCTTACTACCAAGCATTAGTATTATTTAGTGGAAACATGGCTTTTTTCCACTATTTGCGAGATTTAGTGGAAATAGTCTTTAAGCCACTAATATTAATTTAGTGGAAATTTTGTCAGCTCCAATATCACTAGGCTTGGAGTAGAAAGCATTGTGCACTACCACTAGAAATAATAGTGGTTGTGAGAACACTGATTTTTTAAAAAACATAGGGCACTCAAAGATAAGTTCACTACGGCCATGTCTGGTATTCATGACTTTAACGTAAACCTAGCGGCAGATGAAGCAGAACCACAGATTAAATTCCTAAAAGAAAAACTACGAGTAATATTAGGAATATATACAAATATAAAAACTACAAGCTCAAAAACAATAATTGATTGTGTGTTTTCAAGTTATTTTAACACTGTTGAGTCACAAGTACATACAAGTATCGTATTTTATCAATAATTCCGATAATTTCATACATTAAAAGCATTAAAAAAGAAATAAAATTAAATCAGCAAAATGAATAAAATTAATTGAAATCAATGTTTAATTTTTAACTTAATGTGTATCTAATTGAATTACATATAAAAACACTGCCCTCATTTTCGAGCTGAAATCCCTAATCTGTAATTGGAAAATGAGATTAGCTATACAAAATTATAATTATAAAATAATCTCAGATTAAACCCATAACTTTTTGGTGTCCGACTCAGCTTTATCGATTATGGGCCTGTGCCAATCGGTGACTTTTTTCTCCATGGTGAGACGGGGTAGAAAAATTTGCTATAGTGTACAAATAAATTTAATTTTGCTGTGCCAAATACAAAGTAAAGTTTTGACAGTTGAAAACCCAAACAAACGCTCGTGCGAAAGCTCTATTTTTGTATGTTGCTGAAATTGTTAAAATTTATATTTGATTTATAACTTGCAAGTAACATGTTTTTTGTGCTTTTTCAGCTTTAATTTTCATGTTCACTCTTTATTACCGCCAAGCAAAATTATGTGTATACAATGTATACTATACATATATATTTATAAGCTGTCAAAATTTTACCTAGCTCACCACGTATTCGTATTCACCACGAGAAATGTCAAATTTTTACTTTGATCCGTCATAATTTCCTCTTTTCTATCACTTGCCACAGGCCATATACAAACAAAAAATTGACGCTAGCAAAGAAAAGAGGTTATTGTAAAGGTATTTATAATAAAATATTTAAAATTTAAAGTGACCACGGTGGCATAGAGAAGAAATGAACTTTTCCTCGAGCTGTGAGAATAATAAACACAACCAGTTTGACAGTTAACCAACTTTGATTGGCATTATATTTATATGTAAACGTACTTTTATACTTTACCGTACACATATGTTTACACATCAAATTTCATGAGTACCTAGTACTCACGCTTTTTTTAATTTTTGAGTAGGTTTTTTTAGCAAGCTTTATTCTCAGTGTGTATTGATCGTGGTAGATGTGGATCTGAATAAGCGACTGAAACACGGCTGTTTGTCAAAAGCATACAACTTCGAAATCGTGTAAATGGGCATTTGGTAAATGCGATAGTATGAACGCTTTCTTAAAATATATGATCGAAAGTGCTAAATGTTGCATTTTAAATGCAGTAAAAACGCTGCATAAGTCTGATTTAATTGAATTCATAATGCCGTAAGTTAATATAAAAGTTTCAAAGATAGCCAAAGCAATAATTTTAGCAGATTTGTCTGGGGCTCTAATCTGTAACTGTGAGTTTTCAAGTGTACACTGAAAATTGTGTGCACTCTTCATTTTGCGATTCAGGAAGAGTGAGAATGAGGTTTATCTGTCAAAATTGTTTACACTTCCTCATTTTGCGATTCAGCACGTGTGAGAATGAGTTTTAACTGTCAAAATTGTGTATACTTCTCTTCCGAAAAACTCACTGAATTTTAGTCGGTGAGTTTTTGGATGTGACACAGTTACAGAATGGAGCCCCTTGTTTAGCTACTGTTACCAGGTATTTTGTTAGATCAGAAATCATAGTAATAGCGAACTGGTTACCATAATTTAATTCTGGTAGAGGTCGGCTGACTTCCCAAATGTATGTTTGCAATGTATGTATACAGTTTGACTGCGGTGTGCATACAACGTAGCTATGCTTAGTTAGAATACACGGCAAAAATATCCAAAGTGAATCTTTACATTATGGAACACTTCTCGGTGTACACTACTTTTTCTCACAGTTACAGAATGGAGCCCCTGGTATAGCTACTGTTACCAGGTATTTTGTTAGATCAGAAATCATAGTAATAGCGAACTGGTTACCATAATTTAATTCTGGTAGAGGTCGGCTGACTTCCCAAATGTATGTTTGCAATGTATGTATACAGTTTGACTGCGGTGTGCATACAACGTAGCTATGCTTAGTTAGAATACACGGCAAAAATATCCAAAGTGAATCTTTACATTATGGAATACTTCTTATGCACGCACATTTTCGCACTCTCATTCTCTCATCTCTCAAGCGCCAATTATTTTCTTGTTGGTTGCCGAGCGTTCACTTTGTGCTTCTCTCTCACATGGCAAGGCATCAACTTTTTTAGTGATGTCGTAAATACCTGTACGATGCGCTGTTACAACCGTCCAGCCTTGCCACTAACAATTTTTTCCCCTACCAATTTTCTTCTCAAATCCGACAAAAATCGTTTACAACCTACCAAATAACTTTCAATTACAAAAAAGCATTCTGAAAGCATACAGTTCATTTATTGAAGATTAATAACCCAATTCTGTATCGGCGACAAACATTTTTTTACTGACAAATTTAAACTTTTTGATATATTTTTCCGTAATAAACACTGTGCCAAGAATTTGTCAGTGATACAGAATTTAGCCGTAATAGCCCAAATCTGTATCGATGGCAAAATTTTTTTTACTGACAAATTTAATCTTCCTCATACATATATTTTTCCGTAATAAAAACTGTGACAAGAATTTGTCACTGATACAGAAAAGATCCGTAAATGTTCCGAATACAAAACATTTACATACATACAAGTTATGGACGTTCATACCGCATAAGTCAAAAAAATTAATTGGGCCAGCCGCCCAAAAGGAAACACAGAGTGGTTAGGAATTCACTTAAGTTTTATTAACACTTAACTTCTTACAACTAAGTCTAACACTAAACGTACTGTATGGTAACCCGTCTCGAACTCGACTGCATGCACGTGTGGCCGTTGCTTGCTTCCCACCTTCGTTCTCCGGCAGCGACGCAATGCCTGCGTAACATGTTTACAACCCATTGTCTGATACTGGATTTGGCCTTGACTTCCCACGGGTGCATTATGGAATGAAGGTGGCAATGTCTCCTGTTACACTTTATGGTGAAATTAAAATATGCTGACACTGCGGCACGGGTAACGGGCAACCGTGGGAGCGTCACAACAAATGCGACTGGTGCGTGTTAACTCTTCCCCCCCTAAAGATTTGCGTCCCGAAAATCAACGTTTTGGGAGGCGTCCTTCTAAGGTCGGTTTCGAGAACTCTGTTGCAGTATAGACAAATTCAGCTCAGGAAGTTTGGCTCCTGTCGTAAATTTTCTCCAAATCAGCAAAATTAGGATCATTAGCAAAAATAAGTCCTAGACCTTCAGACGTCGCAAACGAGCTAGTTTTGTCCTTCAGGTAACCCAGACGTCATTTCATGGACGAGATCGAGGTTCACTGCCAGGCTCTTATTCGTTATTGTAGACAACACGGATGGAAACACCTGCACACCTGAGCTGCTTGTACTCAGTGATGGCGTTGGTCTCGTTCATCCTAGAGGTTTCATAGCTTAAACGATTTAAACATTTTTCATAGCGCGTCAAGTCGATCATATGGACCAGTTTGAAATGTCCGTTGACTATCCAACCGTATCCATCTCGAACAGTTAGAACAGGAGAATCTATGTTGAATACGACATATGCTTGTGCGGTTGCACAGAGGCGGATTCTACGAATTAGATTAGATATTGTTAACTTAATTCTACTTTCACCTCCTAGATAGCTTAAAATAAACATCGTAAATAATTGTATTTTCAGGAATTGAATTTAGCTTGCTTTTTTAAAATTACTTCAAAATCAAGTTTTTACGTCAAATCGACTACAGAATGCTTTATAA